AGTCTCCTGCGAATCACTTATTCAATCAGTGCCTACTAGATGCTAGACACTTATAAGCCCTTGGGGTACATCTGTGAACAAGGAAAAAAAAAAAAAACCTGGTATTGCAGTGTTCATGTATCTTTTCTCTCTTTTTATTGAGAGGTGGAATGTGGGAAAGGAGAAAGGAGGAAGGAATAAACAATAAATAAAAATAAGATAATTAGAGAGAATGTTAGAAAGTTCAAATATTATGAAAAAAGAAATAGAGCAGAGTAAGGAGGATAGGAGTTTGGGCTGATGGAGCATTAAACACCACGATTGCCAAGTGTGGTAGCACATGCCTATAATCCCAGCAACTCAGGAGACTGAGGCAGGAGGATCAAAAGTTCAAAGCCAGTCTCAGCAACTTAGCACGACCCTGTCTCAAAATTGAAAAAAAAAAAGGGAGATGGGGTGGGACGGGGATGTAGCTCAGTGGTTAAGCACCCCTGGGTTCAATTCCAAAACCAAAGGGGGAGGGGGGACAAACACTATGATTGGGATAGGCCTCCCTGAGCAGGTGATATCTGAGACTTGTTTTTTTTTTTTCTTTTTACAGTATTGGGAATGGAAGCCCAAGTCTCACACATGCCAGGCAAGCTCTCTACCTCTGAGCTATATCTCCAGCCCAGACTTTTCCTTTTATTAGCCACACCTCTGCATAGCTTCATCTTCCTGGAATGTCCTCCTATTACCTTTACACCACCCTTGAATTCAGCTCAGATTTCACCCTCTAGTCTATCAATCTTTCCCAGTACCCCCTACTGTGTCAATCATCTTTTTGTAAGATCTTTTCTTTATCATTCATTCCTACTCACTGTAAGTATAGATCATGGAGCTGGATCACTCTTTTGTGTAGTAAGTCCTTGAAAGTAAGAACTTTGCCTCATGTCTGTGTCACCAGAGCCTAGTATAGTGCTTGGTAGATAATCAGTAAGCATTTACTGACTAAATGGGAGAACAGATGTTTAGGGCTGGCTCTAGAAACTTGCTCTGGGCCTCTATGTCAATGGAAAATGATGAAAGTGATCTAATTAGAATGCTGGCTCAGGCTGGGGATGTGGCTCAAGCAGTAGCGCGCTCGCCCAGATTCGATCCTCCAGCACCACATACAAACAAAGATGTTGTGTCCACCAATAACTAATAAATAAATAAATATTTAAAAAAAAAAAAAAAAAGAATGCTGGCTCTCCTGATAACTAGCAGCTCACCTGTTTGATGATATATGTTAGCTCTTCAATTTCCACTGCTTTATCATCAAAAAGGGACTTGCGCTTTGCCACTGCAGAGACAACAGGAAATTACAACAGATGAGTTAAAAGGCTGGAGATTAGCTTACTGGCAGAGCACATGCAAGACACTGGGTTCAATCCCTAGCACCACAAAGCACACAAACACAGAAAAAGACAAAGCTCAGGGTGCACCCACTCTGGTTCACTGCCCCACCTCTGAAAGATCCCAAAACACTTACAGATTGTCAGCTTCTCCAGCTTGGCAAATGTGTTGCTGAGGTCTTTCCCAATGCGCCTGCAAACAATCACTAGTGAGAACACCGTGGAAAAGGCAGGAAATAGGCTATTTCCACATTAGTTCTAACAAAACCAATCCCAGCCCTCATGGCCAAGTGACCAGTCTGCATGCTTATTTCTTCCTTGGACATGATATCACCCCACCACAAATCTTATCTCAACTCACTTGGCCATGAGGGTAAATTCACTGCGTTGTCGGGCAGCACGCAGAGCCGGCTTATTTGTTTGGATTCCATTCTGAAAAGCAATGCCAAGAGGTGACAACTTAGCTCCCCACTACATATTTGCAGCTTTCACTGTTCACATGTCCAATAAACTCTTTCTAGTACTAGAGGTATCTACCATCAGATAATTCATATTTATCAGTGGTATTTTAGCCGAAAAGAAGACAAGCAGACCTGGGTTCAAATGCTGACTTCACCACTTAGGAACTGAAAGATTTATGGTAAGTTACTTATTTTGAATCTCTATTTCCTCTTCTACAAAATGAAGACAACCTAACTACCTCTTATTACTATTAAGATTAGTTAACATAAGGGCCATAAAGTACTATAGCCAACTATTTAATACATTGTAAACATTAAAAAAATTTGGGAGAGGGCTGGGGATGTGGCTCAAGTGGTAGCGCGCTCGCCTGGCATGCTTGTGGCCCAGGTTCGATCCTCAGTACCACATACAAACAGTTGTGTCTGCCGAAAACTAAAAAAAATAAAAAATATAGGGGCTGTGGTTGTGGCTCAGGGGTAGAGCGCTTGCTTAGCACATACGAGGCACTGAGTTCAGTCCTCAGCACCAATTAAAAATAAATAAATAAATAAAGGTATTGTTTAAAAAAATATATAAAAAAAATAAAAATATAAATATAAAAAAAAATTTGGGAGAGAGTAAGAAAGCTAAAAGCTATGAATGAAAGTCAACATGAAACACTGTCAAAGACCCATTCAGTTAATTGGGTCAGTAAATGGAAAGGGAACAGAAACTACTAGCAAAATAGTGACAGCAACATTTTATGAGTCACCAAGTGCTCATGCTGCACCTGATACTTCAGATATTAAAATCAGTTTGTTATTGGGAAAAAAATTGGCTAGTACAGCCACTCTAACCTTGGAATCAGGGAATCAATGAGGAAACTAGAAAGTTCCTAGAGATCACAAAATTCTTGGAGAACAATTGTTAACAAAAGCTGAAATTTAAAAGTATTTTAAAATACAGTTATACTCAGTCTGGGCACAGTGGGTTATGCCTGTAATCCCAGCAACTCAGGAAGCTGAGGCAAGAGGATCACAATTTCCAGGCCAGCCTCAGCAACTTAGTGAGGTCGTAAGTAACTCAAAATAAAAAACAAAAAGGGCTAGGGATGTAGCTCTTTGGTAAAGCACCTGTGGATTCAATCCCCAGTACCAAAAATTTTAACAAGTTACTCAGGACTCACTTGGATTCACAAAGTCTTTACTGAAACAAAACTCTAGCTGGACAAGGTAGCACATGCCTGTATTCCCAATTACTATAATCCTGGCTACTCCAGAAGCTGAGGCAGGAGGATCATGAGTTCAAGGGCAGCCCCAGAAACTTAGAGACCCTGTCTCAAAATAAAATTCAAAAAGGGGGAGGGATGTAACTGAATAGCAGAGTGTGTTCCTGGCATGTACAAGGCCCTGGGTTCAATCACCAGTAACACCAACAAACCAAAACAAAACCCTCCAAAGTGATTTTGGTAAAAAATTACTGATCTAAAAGAGTTCTTTCCTTTCCCTGACCCTCTACTATACACATAGAAAAACTGAGGCCCAACTGGATTAACTAGGTTCCCCATGGTGGCAGAGCAAACTTGTGTAGTACACTAGAATTAGAATCCAAGGTGCATGTGTCTCAACTGAAAGCTCTTTCTAGAACTTGTTCATTATTCAAATACCTTAGTCACCTTTATCCGAGGTATTCCTTCTAGAATAACAATCCTACTCTCTAGGGAATTCCTTACCAATTAAAAAAAAAAAAAAGGTCTGGGTCCTTGCCTTTCATTAACAAGTCCACTTTTTGTGGCTTAGTAGGTCCTATGGACCCTATCCAACCTGTCAGCATCAGGCTTCCCCAAAAATTATTTCACTTAAAAGTGCTGGAATATACCCCCAACCAGGTTTAGTAGGGCTCATTCTTGCCTTTCCCACTCCTTACCTGACGGCTCTGCAGTGACTTGCAGGCAGACAGGAACTCCTGTGTCCGATCCCGGCAGGACATGGTGTCGGGAAGGGGAGGGACCAGGACCACTGGAGGGGGCAGAGGGGCGATGTCGCTGCTGCTACTGCCAGCAGTTGCAGGGGACAGGACCTGTGTCTTTGAGAGACCCAGGTAGACACCCTGATCCGTGTTCTTAGACCCGTAGCGTTTCCGCGGGATCATTGAGTCGCATAACCTCGGACTGTCGTGAAGGGGAGAGTGTCATTCCCCAGGAAGCCTCCTTCCCCACAAATCCCCCCTCAACTAACAAATTCTCTGGCCCTTCCTGCATTTGTCAGTCTTTCGCGCTCAAGGCCACCCGCGGATCCTGGGACCTGCCTGCTGTGGGAAAGGGCCCGTTTCCTCCTGGCCCAAGGCGAACCCTCTCAGACTCTTCTACCAACTTGGCTCAAGCGGCCAGAGCGCGGGCCGAGGTCCTGAAGCCGAGGGAAAGCCAGAGCCCGGTCCCGTGGCACCAAGGCCCCAGCCTGGCAGGTGCAACTGTCCCAGGAGCTAACGGGGCCCTCTCCTATCCGCGATTCCCTTCAACCCCTAAGGGGAAACCGCGATGGACCCCCGAGAGCGGACACACTTTGGTGGGCGGAGGGGGAAACCTCTAGGTGTTTATTTGAAACAGGAAGTCCCACCCCCTCCAAAGTTCCGCCTTCTGGAAGACTGCAACCCCTGATTAGCTAATGCCGACGTCGTTCTCCACAGGGCTTTCCTGGTTGGACGGCGAGGTATTCGCTCACCAGGAGCCCGGCCGGCAGGACTTGCCCGCTCGCCCCCGGTTCCCTTCCCCCTCTGCCCGTCGCCGCCCCCGTGAAGCCACTGCCCCGGAGCTGACACGGCGGCCAAGCCCCTCTTAGAGCGGGTCCTACCTCCTTCCTACCGCCTGCCGCCGCCGTCGCCACTGCCACAACCTCTTCGGCCGTCACCGCCTCCTCCCGGGGCGCTGGAGCCGCCGAAACCCGACCAAAGACTAGGAGCCGCCACGTCACCTACACGTAACCCCACCCCCGTGACGAAGGGCTACGCCACGCCTTTCCCAGCCCGGCGACCCGGGACACGCCCCCTGCCGACGCAAGCGCGACTCCACCCTCCCATTGGCTAGGCCGCCTCCGTGACCCCACCCCTGAGGAGTGAGAGCGGACCCCCCGGGGGGGGCCTGAGCCAGCCTCAGGGGAGGAGCCTTAAAGAGCCCAAACCCCGCAGAGCCGGTTGTAGAGGCATCAGTGCTTGGGCAGGCCCACGTTAGAAATTTTATTCTCTGGAGGCTGGGGCGGACGGAGAGCAGGTTTGAGTTCACCCCTTCTCCGGCTCATCCTGGTCCTCCTCTATTGGATACCCCGGCCTTTGAATCTGGTCTGAATGCTTCTTGTTTGATGACCGCGAGGAACCACGACGACTGAACATAGATAGCCGCCTCCATAGCACGGTGATCAGAAGACTTTCATTAGACTTGGGATTCTGGCGGCCTGGGGAATCCAAATCGGTTTCTGACGCGCCTATGGGGCTGAGGCTGTTTAGCCCCACCCTACCCGACCCAACCTCCTGGGTGGGCCTTACGGGGCACCCCCAGCTCTAATCCCACCTTCCCCAACTTCATCCGACCCGCCATCCTTTCCCTGATCATCCGAGGTCTGAAAATCCTTGTCTTGGCAGCAGCCCATGGCCCCGCGCGGCAAGGTGCTACTCGCGCTACCCTCTCGCCAGCCTCCCTGGCTCCGGGGCCGCTTTTGTGACGTCAGATATCCCACTGTCTCAGCTCAGGAAGCCCCCACCCCAAGCCACCCCTCTAACTTCTATCACAAAAGGTTCAGATCACAAAAGGTGGGAGTTGAGCTGTTTATTTACAAAATGGGCACGGGGTTTTCAGGGGCTAATGGACTTCTGCTGCTTCTTTTTTCTCTGTTTGGTTTGGAGAGCTCCTTGGGTCTGATTCTGATCAGGTAGTTTCCTCTTAGCAGCTGCCTCCAAGGATGCCCAAAGTTCATCTGTCTCTGTGTCTTCTGAAGGTACCTTGTTGATCTCTTGAGGCTCTTGGGGCTCATCCTGGTGAGTTGGAAGAAAGCTCAGGGGTCAAAAACCAGGGAAGCTCTAGCTGGGAATCAATTCCTCTGGGCACCAACACCACCTATATCTCCCAGAAACCACTGTCACCATGCTCTGCAATGATAACCCTGTCAGAATTGTAACTGTTAACACCCCACAGAGAGAAATTGAGTGGCATAGCAGTCCTAGATCTGTGTTTCCTTTCCATAGGGAAATCCTCACATCCATGCCCTTAGCTCCTACTTTCCCAGACCAGACTGCTCACCTCCCAGGTATCCCTGCCAGACAAGAGGAGGCAATTCAGTCGAGACTTCAGATAAACCTGCAAAAAGAGGAGGGACCTTGTAGGGCCCAGGCAGGCTGAAATACATAGAAGCATCAAGGGGTGAGGGCTAGAAAGTTTGAGCTCCCACCTTATGCTCCAGGCCTCGTGGATTCCGGATCCTGTGTATCCTCAGGACTCTGTCTAAGCCACAAGAGGCTAGTAGGGGCTTTGAAGGGTGGCACTGCAACCCACGGACACTGCCTGCCAGTCCCTTCAGACAGCCCAGTAGGCGCCCTAAAGAAGGCATTGGCATTGGTGCTAGCTCGCCAGCTAACCACCGTTTATTCAGTGTTTACTGTTCAGACCACTTTCTATTTTAACGTTTAATCCTCAATATAACCAAGAGTTACCAATAATATTTCTATTTTACAGGTGAGGAAACTAGGGCACAGGAAGTTAAGTAATTAGTTCAACGTCATACAACTTTTGTTGAAACAGCATGTGAATCCAGGCAATCTGATGTCTCCATGAGGGTGCAATGAATCCCTATACTACCTGTTAGAGGGAAAACTGACTTTTTCCCTTTCCCCAAATCCCCTAGTCCACTCACCTTGTCGAAAGTCAATTTCTGCCAGTTGCCCATGAGTGTTCCCTACGATGACAGAGCTGAGAAGACCAGAGGCAAGGGGTCAACAGGAATCTCTTGAATCCTTCCCAAGCCCCACTCCAACCCCTCTAACCACTCACTTGTCCCCAGGAGTGAGAGTCATGGCTGTCAGTGGGTACTCGCCATACGTGGTCTCTAGAACTGGCCGGCGCTGGGGGGAGGCTGGATCATAGACTCGAACCTAGAGAGGAAAACTGAGGCATCACAAAAGCATCCTTGCCTTGCATACTCCCTCCTGGCATCTCTGCTCATCCTTTCTTCTGAGCACTGCTTTCTTGTTCCTGACCCACCCTCAAAGAAATGTTCTCATTGGAAACACAAATCTGAGTGTTGCTGGGGTGAGCAGAGCTGCTCAGGAGCATGAATGGATAGGGATAATGGGGAGAGGTCCTCCACAACAGGGAATGTGAGCATTCTGTCCCTCCATTCTCCCATCTAGGAGTGGAGGAATGGAAAAGCAAGTTGGACCAATAATCAGAGGGAGCTGAATTTCAAGCAGACATTTAGCATGAATGAGGGAGGAGCGAGGAAGTCCCCGTAAGTAGGTTAAACAGAAGTATGTCATCAACATCATTCCTAAATTTCAAATAGTGACACAGTGCTCCCTGGGTTTCAGGGCTTCAAATGAGAAAAGCCGTAAAGATCCCTAATAGAGCCTTTCAAGCAAAGCTGAGGAGCTGAGGCAAGAGAGGGGAGGGCAGGCCTGTGTCCCAAAGCAAATCAGAGAAGCTTTGGGTCCAGAATTCTCTTTTTTGACACCCAGCCCAATGTCCATCCTTGACGCTTGTGCCCTGTGGAACCCACTGTGAAGGGGACACTCCCTTCTCTTTCTCTTTCACATGGGAGAAATAGAGCTGTGGTTGAGCACATTCCATCCTAGAATGCAGTAAAGGAAGGCCACAGGCTAGCACCAAGGCTCAGATGGATGGGGAGGTGTACACTCTCCTGAGAGCTCTGGAGGGAAGAAGGACCGAGAAGTGGCTGTGCCACACCACAGCAGCCCATTTTGCCCATAGAAGCTGTTTTATTAAGAAGCTGCCTCAGCCCAGATATGGGCAGGGATGAAATGGTGCCTCACCTGGTGGTACCCTGTGCATGTAATGAGCTTCTGTGATCCAGGGAGGAACTGTATATCCTGGTCCCAGATGGGAACCCGAAGGTCTAGCCAGTCATTCCGCACCTGGTGTTAAAGGTGAACGGGGGATAGGATGGAGGTAGGTTCGAAGTGCTACCAGTTTTAGCCCTCCTTTATCATCCCTTAAAGTCCATCTGGTCTCTGATCAGTAAGTGGCCTCAGATTCCCTATTCCATCACTCACATTCTTGGCCCTGAACACAGGCTCCTCAGATCCCTGCAGGTCCCACACCTTCAAAGCATTCTCCTTCCCACCTGTGGCAACTATATGGGGTTGTGCTGGGTCTTGGCGCATCCTACAAACCCCAGGACCAACCCTCAATTCCAGAAGCTGAAAAGAATGAGAGATGAGTCAGTTCCAGAGTTCTTAATCTTTCCTCCCGCAAATCCCTCATTAGGCTCCTAATGCTAACTTTCACCCTCCCCAACCATCAGAGTAAGGAACCTTACTGGGTCAGAGGATGCTTCCTTATCATCGTCACGCCAGACTCTAAGTATGCCAGAATCTACACACGTGATGAGGGTGCTGCAAACAGGGAAGATACAGTTGGGATTAAAAAAAAAAAAGTGTGTTCTCCAGGCCCCAGCTGATATACCTCTAAATTCCTGTTAACTAGACCCCATCCTAACAGCCCAGTTTATATGCCTCACATATGCCAGGCAAGCACTCCATCACTGAGCCATAGCCCCAACCCCCAACCTCAAGATACCTGGGGTCTATGCAGGGCCTAACAGCATCCAGTTTACCTATCAACTCAATTTAGTCAACAGGCAGGTGGTTACCAGTTTTATGAGGAAACTGGAGGCTCTGAGAACTTAAAATATTTGCCACTCATCTAGGACTGAAAATCGGACCCAGATCTAGAAATCAAATTTGTGATACTTCAAAGCAGAGTTCTTTTCCTACTCCTCAGCTAAGTTGGGGTACCTGGCCTTTATGGTCTTCCTGATTCTTGAGTTGGTTCCTAATGGAGTTGGAGTTGGAGTGGGGTGGGTTCAGGATCATTATCTCAGAAATGACTGAAACAAGACTCATCCAGTGGTCAACCTCAGGTTCTATTCTTTTTTCTCCTTTTTTTTTTTTTTTTTTTTTGTGTGTGTATGTGTAGTTGTAGATGGATAGCATGCCTTTATTTTATTTTTATGCAGTACTAAGGATTGAACCCAGTGCCTCACATATGCCAGGCAAGTGCTCCACCACTAAGCTACAGTCCCAGCCCCCAGGTTCTATTCTTGAGTTCCCTGTTTTTTGGGTTCTAATGTCAGCCTCTCCCTCAAAATATCTCTCCCAAGAAACCCAAGGTATTCTCTTCCCAGTATCCACACAGCCTCGGCCTACATTCTTCTTCATATCTGCCCACCCTCTCTTCCTGGGTTCAGGTTCTGTATTATTTGCCTGAGCCCTGGCAAGAGTCTCCTAATTGCTTTCTCCAGTCCTCTACACTCCTACAGGCTCTTAGCTCCACAGCATTTCCCACTCAAAGCCCAATAATTCCCACCATCTACAAAATGAAAGTGCAAATCTCTCAACCTAACAATACATCTAAAATACATTTAAAGCCAGGCATGGTGGTACACACCTGCAATCCCAGCAGTTTAAGAGGTTGAGGCAGGCGGATCACGAATTCAAAGCCAGCCTCAGCAAAAGCAAGATGCTCAGTGAGACCCTATCTCTAAATAAAATACAAAATAGGGCTGGGGATGTGGCTCAGTGGTTGAGTGTCCCGGAGTTTGATCCCTGATACCGACCACCCAACCGCCCCACTCGGGCCCCTGCTCTCCCCCCAAAATTCTACCCACAGATCCTTTCCAGACCTCACTTGTCAGAATCAACACTACCACCAAACAAAAGCAGCCTGTCCACAGCCTTCTATCTTCATCTTGGGAAAAGGCTTGGCCAATTACCTAAACATCAGACCTTCCTATCCTTTAGTCTGGGAGCTTCATCACCTTGCTGGTGGTTCGCTTCCATTTAAACGCCTGCTCAAAACCATTAAATGACTTGCCCAGCATTTTGAGCAGAAAGTCACACTGGATCTCAGAGGGAAAACCCAAAGGATGCACACTTAACGAAGGCAGAAACTTCACCCGCAGCCCTTGCTCTTTGAGTACGGAACTCAGTAGATATTCAATAGATGTTATAGGAATGCACGAACTGAAGGCAGGAACCCAGGTCCCCGTCACCCAACTCAGGTCCTTATCACCTAAGAGCGTAACGACATTATTCCGTCGTCCTAGGAGCCTCGACGCTCTCCCTGAGCCCTGAGCGTTCGGCGAGGGGACCTGACTTACCCGTCGGCTTGAGCGAGGCCTCGGAAGGAGCCCTCCCCGCCCGGACAGTGCCTCTGGCCCTGGAACGTGCCCTCCTCGGTGTTGAAGTGCCTCACCTTTCGGTCCGCGCAGCCCACCAGGATCTGCAGACAGAGGGGCGTGATGTCCAGGAGAGCGAGGCTGCCGCCTCGCGGTCCCAACTCCGGCGCAGCGAGGGCCACTGACCTGGGTCTCGCCGCCCGCGCCCCAGCACAGGGCGCTCACCGCCTCCTCCCGCCGCGGCTGTCCCGCCGCCGTGAAGTTCGACGCCTGTTTCCGCTGAAGATTCACCCCTGCGGGACGAGGGTG